ACTGAAAGACTCCGACCGAGCCGAAGCCCTAAAGCCGAAGGAGGAAGCCTTGACCCGATTGCGGAGAGGCTCCGGCTACCAGTACACCTTGGGATGTTCCCCCTTATACTAACAGGCCTTAATAGGAATTATAGTACTTATACTAACAGTCCTTAATAGGAATTATAGGGTACAAGGGGAACATGCCAAAGTACACTCTTGAACGACAAGTCCACTTACTTGACGGATGCGGGGAGTTTACAATCGACTTGTGACTGTACTTGTCTGAAGCCACACGCAATGCAAGATTTCGTGTCAGAAACAAAACACCAGGCAGATAAATGACCCTTTGTGCATCCGGGCTGTTGTCTAAACCCTTTTTTGCTTCAGGTCTCCAGGGGGTAGTTTGCTTAAACCCTAAACCCTATTGCGTCCGGGCTTGGGCAGTCAACCCTAAACTTGCCCTAAACCCTGTTTATGAACCCACACTCCTGAAGTCAGCCTTCGACAAGCTGTCTGTCTAGGCAAACGCAGTAACGCAAACACCCTAAACCCTAAACCCCAAACCCTAAACCCACCTTCTGGAAGGCCCAAGAGGTTCCGACAGCTGCAGGATGCGCAGTGTCGGTGCCAGCTGCCTCTTGCAGCAAGTTTCAGGCCAGTTCGGGCTTTGGGGGTTTAGGGTTCAGCAGCACATACACACATACACACACACTCTTCTTTCTTTCATGTGGCCTAGGGGGCAGGCACACACTCTCTCGCTCTCTCGCTCTCTCTCTCTCTCTTCTTCTTCTTCTTCTTCTTCTTCTTCTTCTTCTTCTTCTTCTTCTTCTTCTTCTTCTTCTTCTGCTGGGCATGAGGAGACCCAAGGGCCCCCCCGCGCACCAAGGCGCGCCCGAGTGCGAGATCCCGGTGAAATGCATGTTGGGGTTTCCTTGTTGGTTTCCTCTCTCTCTCTCTCTCTCTCTCTCTCTCTCCTGCGCGCATGGCCCCCCCGAAGGAAGGCCGCCCCCAGGGGCGCGCGTGTGTTTTGGGTCAGTTGGTGAGATACACAGAGAGGGGTTTAGGGTATAGGGTGCTGGTGTAGCATGTGGCCCACAATAGCTGATTCCAGGTGTGTTCGAAGGCCTTGTAGCCTTCCCGAAGTTCGAAGTGTCCTCAGGCTTTGCGGCAGAGTGGCTGATCGCGTATATACATATATATATATATATATATAGATGCGGTTTAGGGTTTAGGGTATATGGCTGACAAACACCACCACAGGCATTTGTCCTGAAGATTGCGGCATGCGCGCCCGCAAGCCGTGGCATCGCCATGGGCAGCAGCTGGAGCGGATAAGAACGGAAACAACTGGAAGGCTGTGGGGTCGACTGCACCGCGCACTGCGCAATCTTCCCTAGCAAGCACTCCGATGCGAGCTGCCTTGTAGGTAGGGCAACCCATCTGCTGTATAGATAATGGTTGACGGCTGATGGCAATGCATTATTGAGCCATCGGCTGTGTCTTATGCATCTTGTGTCTAGGGACAGGAGGCCCTGGTAACAGCGTTCATGACCCTAAACCCTAAACCCTTTCCAAGAGACTTCGCCCGCCTCGATAACATCCCCTCTGAGCCAAGGCCGCCCTGCAAGCCCCCCCGTACTCGTGACAGCAAGGCCCCCAATCCCCCTGTACTCTTGACAGAAGGACTAGAGCAGGCGACTCAGCTTCTCGGCCCACGTTTCAGGAATGACACTATAGAGTATGAGAAAGTTGAAAGATCTAAAGGTACTCTCATGAAACCGAACTAGCTCACTATAGAAGCACTGTTGCATCCAATCTTGCAGATGAACGTCAATCACAAGGCCCTCAAATTCCAACTGAATCCAAAGCAGCCAAATCTGTAGAACCTCTTGGATCTGTCCCAATCTTGTAAACTCCTGCAACCCGTACTCCTCATCAATCCACATGACCGTCCACCCAGCTGATGCCACGCACACATGAACTGCTAGGCGCCATGGAGTGTGAAGCCTTACTGTATCTCTCCAATTCGAAGCCGTTGCGGGGTTGAAAATTGGGTGGTGATATGCGTATTTGTCAAGGATATCAGCTGTGTAAGATGTCCACGCCTCCCTGTCCCGAGCTCTATCACTAAGCTGCTGGGCATCAACATTGAGGCAGCTCATTCCCCACGCATGCAGATGGCGCCACGGACCCGGAGCTGCCTGTTTGGTGTTAGACAGCGCCAGTAAATCAACACGTGTTACGTTATCCTCAGGGAATCTCAACACATGTCCCAGGTACCCCCAGCGTCGCTTGACCCAAATGTGCACCCATTGACAGGCAACGAACCAATTGAGCAACACCAGCACCGCGCGCCGCCTAGTTCTATTCAAGGAAGCTGCTGCCGGAGGACCAAAAGAACTGGGGACACACAAGCCAAGCATGAGGGTGAGGAAAGTCACCTGCATACTCCTGACTTGCACCAGGTATTTCTGTAGGGGCTCCATAACCGGCGAGTACCAGAACCATGTGGCCCCGAGGTATTGATTGCACAGTTGTATTGTTTTCCTAGGACAGCACCAGTGACCCCTCCTCAATGCTTGTTTGAGCGACTCAAACGCCACATGGGTGGCTCGTCCCAGGGATTGAAGCATCACGGCGGTGGAATCTGCAAATCCCACCTGAGTTGCCTGAGCCCCCGTTTCAAAATGTGTGAGCCTCTTCTTCAAGTACAGGCACTCTGTTCCCCAGGACAGGTCTCGCAGAAAACAGCTCGGCGGGAACACAAAGTCGGCTCCTGCCCTGAGAACGGACTCGTGGGACATTACCTTCGTCTTGGAAGGGTTTAGCGCAAGACCCAAGGATGCCAAAAACTCAATGAGCTGACTCACGAGCCTAGATGCTTGACTCCAGTCCTTAAAGGTGGCTAAAATATCATCCACAAATAAAAGAAAGAAGGACGAGTGTTGACATTCTTCTCCATCCGAGCTCCATTTCTCCTCCAAATACTGCACTGCCCTCCCCAAGACATAACTAAAAACCACTGCGCTGTGAGAGCCCCCTTGTTGCAATCCACAAACTTGGTCAACCTTCCATTCTCTAGAAAGCCACTGAAATTCCAAGGAAGGATGGAGGATGAGTTGCAGGAGTTGCCACGACTCATGCAGGCGATCTCTGGGCGACTGTTCCAGCAGGAAGCGCGCCACTGCGGATTGACGAAGATTGTCAAAGGCTGCAGAGATATCGCAGGACAAGTAGATATTGTATTGGCGAGTCTTGGATTCCTTCGTCACTCTCGCCTGGGCTGAAGACAAAGCGTCGCACACTTGGCTCCCCTTGACTCCACCTTTCTGGAGTCGAGGAGTACTCCAACCAGGCTGCAAGCGAGCCACTAATAACCACGAATACAGTTTGTGAAGAGCTTCGATGAGGTTTATAGGACGGTAGTCCTTTGGGCTGAGAATCTCTTTGGCCTTGGGAAGTAGAGCCACATGAGCCCGATAGAAGTCCTGTGGCAACGCGGGCGATTTCAAGAGCTGGTTGAGGACACAGAGGAGAAGATCTTTGCCTGAGTCTATCCCCCAGAGTCCTAAAAGGTATTCATTAGACATCCCCGACGGCCCCGTGACCTTGGAGCGCTTGAGGCGGTCAACTCCCTTCTGCACCTCCGCAACCGAAAACTCTTGGCAGTGTGACTGCTGCGCTTGCTCTCGAAAGGTCTGCAGGCAGGCCTCCAAGTCTGCATCATCCGCAGGTTCACGTTTAGAGAAAAGGGCCTCATAGTGTTCCTGAACCCGCTGACCAGCTTGTGTGGCACCACCAGAATTGGAGAGGAAGGAATGAATACTACCTTGTACTGGAAGATTTCTCTGTCGAAGATACCGAATAGCCCCCGTGTCGCCCTGTCTACTCCGTTCATAGAGCTGTTGCATCCACATGGTTCGTTCGATATGACGTAATGACAATATGCGTCTTGTCAGGGTTGCTCGATCTTCCATGCTAACAGTGATCCTGCGTCGGTGGCAGAGGTCCTTCAGGGTATCGCTATCACGGTATTTGAGCGAAGGCGCAGGTCTAGAGACTTGTGTTGAATGCTGCTTGAGAACCTCCCACTGACCAGTGATATCCAGACCTTGTACTTTGTCAAGAACTTGCGGGGTAGTAGTCTCCACGAGGCTAGGATCAACTGACCATCGTCTGCACTTGTTGCGCGTGCGTCGCACCCTTGCAGGCTTCACTACACACGCCCTGGGATCGTGGAAGGATACCTCACATGTAACGCAGCAATGATCGCTACCGAGTTCAATCCGGGAATGTTGCAAAGCCTTGGTGTCTATTGCTGCTGCTTCAGGGAGGACAATCTGTTGAAATGCCTTGTTGAAGGCCGTGTAGTCAAGCTCTGACTGGGATGCGTGACCAAAGCGGGTGGCCATGTCCGTTCTGACGATCTTGCCGCCCCTGGTGCTGAAGCAAGCATCAAGCATGACCCCCCTTTCAGTCCCCGGCTCACAATTAAAATCTCCCATAAAAATGATAGGTGTGTCTTGGTGGTCCACTAAACACTGTACCAACTGTCTGAGGGACTCCTCGAACTCTTCAATGGGTCTCGCTTGATGGGGGAGGTGACACGAAACTATACATATGCGATGCTGGGTGCCTGACAGGACGACCTCTGCTGCAATGAATCTTTCACCCCTCCACGCATTGCTGATAAGTTCAACATTGTCTTTGTGAAGGAGGATCACTTGTCCCAAATGAGCAGAGGTTGCTGTCGTTCCCACCACATAAAAACTGCGAAGTTCCCCTGGCTCTTGAAGTGAATATTCAAAGACCCCTTCCTCGAACTCCTTAAGAGTGGAAAGACTCTGAAGTTGGCCCACTTCTTGGAGGCAAAAAATATCCATGCATTCGCCGGTCTCATTATACCAGTTATTAAAGTGCGCAAGCCCTTTACCCTGTAGGTTCCAGCAAGCGAAACAAACAATACCCTGGCTGTACCCAGAATACTTAGCAGCTGTCACTTCAGGCTGGGGAGTCGGTCAGGCTGACTGAATTGCAGCCTCCACCGCCTCCGGCTGGGTGGAGGTGCACGATGCCAGGCCAGTCACATTGAAGAAGAACGTGGATCTTTCTCCATAGTCATCTGTAGTGGCACGGCTGCAAATCTTGTCGGTGGGCTGGCAGTGTAGGCTGGCGAGGTTCGCTGCCACAACCCTGCAGGATCCTATCCACATGATTTGACGGGTCCAGTCTATGTCTTCAATCGCCACCGGACCTCCCTTTATCTTCTCAAGCATCTGCCTTATCGTGCGTGTTGCCCTGTTTCGCTTTCTCTGTTCAGCAGATTTCTCAGCAGACATCCAGGCTTCATCAGTGTTGGTGGAGAGCATGTGCCCAAAGTTGGCCTTCAACTGGAAGAACCGTTCACGTGCTTGATCTACGGGGAGCGGCCGGAGGCACACCATGCCTGTTCTGGCTCTCTGCCCAAAAACCGTCGTTCTCTGAACTGAGCTTCTAGACACAGGGTCCCATAATGAAATCGCCTTGGCAATCTCTAGCTCGATCAATTTTCGCGGCGTGTCTTTCGCAAAGCCGCCAAGGATCACGTTGTTGTAATTGGTACCCTGTGCCTCCGCAGAGCCGGGTCCCGAGCCTGTATCGCTGAAGGCATTTGGCTGCGGCTGTGGTTGCTGGCGCTGTAGCGGAGGTGGCTGAGCTGGACTGGAGGCATTCGTAGTTGGCCTAGCTGGATGTGGGGCATTCGCAGCAGGCTTGTAATTACTCCATGCGTCTGAGCCCGTCGCCGAGGAACTCGCAAAGGTTGCCCTTGCCCAAGGATCTGGAGGAGGCACTGCTTGAAAGTTTTCACCTCTCTGCTTGGAAATCTGTTCTATCCTTCCAGCAAGATCATCCAGTCTTTTGTTCACTTCGGTCATCTCAGCTTGTCGAGTTGAGCTCTCTTGCTGCAGCCTGCCCTACCCTAAACCCTAAACCCCAAACCCTATAAACCCTAAACCCTAAACCCCAAACCCCAAACCACAGCATGGCATCGGGCCTTTGGGATGATGCGCCGCGTTTTCTGCACCTTTCCAAAGAATTTCGCCCCGATAGATTGGCATCTCTAGGTTCTGGGCCCAAATGCCACTTGGGGGTTTCCGAAATTAGGGGGTACTTTATGGGGGTCCTTATTAGAAGGGAATCCTACTATTTGGGGAGGGCGGGGGGGGGAGGGGCGGGCTACTTTATTTAGACGTCCCCTACTGCCGTAAATGCTCAAATTGAAGTGGACAATCGCATCTGCCAGCCTCGGCCGCGCTTCGATCCAGGAAGGCCTGGCAGTAAGCGGCGCTGTGCATTCTTTCCATCAAGACATGCCCAGCTCTGCAGCTCTGACAGCAGGAACACATGCCAACACTCCCAAACCCTTACCATGTGTTTAGAGTTTCCTACCAAATTCTAAAGAACCCCCTCAAAAACACAAATAAATATACTCTTCCTTGCAACGGCAATTAATATTCAAATCTTTTGTTTTTTGGTGGGTTCTTAAGCAAATAGTAACTCAGCCGCCCAAGCTGCCTGCCATGCGAATAAGCAAGGGCCAGCCCCAGGGCCCACGGCATCCACATCCCCCCAGTCCTTCGGTTTCTGCACAGAACCGTGGGCTGCAGGGAGAAGGGAACAAACGAGAGGCATATGCTGTGTATAGAGAAGAAATGCCCATTTCCGATGCCGTAATGGCTCTGTGTATATATATATATATATATGTATATGTATATTTTTTATTTTCATTTTTTATCTATTTGTCTTTTAAGTATTATTATTTGTCTTTATATACATACATACATAAATAAATAAAAATAAATAAATAAATATATAAATAAATAAATAAATAAATATATATATATGTGTAGTGAGAAAAATGTCGGGCAATTGTCAGCAGCACAGCGCTCATGTCATGCACACTTTCGCATCAGATAGCACCCAAGCACGGCCGGCTCCTTGCGACAAGCCTGCCTCTCCCATTGCACGCGACGCTGCTCCTGACAGAGGCTCAAGCAGCTTCAAGTACCCTTGCTCCATGTTTACTTGCAGGTTCATGGTACTTAGTAACCAATTATAACTGTACTTATAACCCACTCAGAAGCCCCCAAAGTGCCCTAGTATTGTAAAAAGTACAGTTATAAGTACAGTTATAAGGACAGTTATAACTGGTTAATAAGTACCATGAATGCATTGGCATGTCCCCCCTTATGCTAACAGTCCTTAAATGGGGACTTTTATCGGGGGTACTATGGTCCCTATAAAGGCCTGTTAGTATAAGGCGTTACAGTATTTAGGGTCTTGGGTTGATCCGAGACCCACAGGAACTTGTGGCCATTTCGACCAATCTGACAAGGTGAGCTCCTCGCAGGACCAACTGTCACCGTGCCAGCTGATAAGCTGCTTCACGACAAATAGCCTTTGGGATCGTACAGCAGAACCGAACCCCCTTGTCAGAAAAAACTGCCGAAACAGTTTCCTGTCGATAGACTACTTTATGCTCTGGCTTGAATAACCTTAGCTGAATCCAGTGGAAGGCCCCGGCGAAAGCTTCGAACTATCCGTAAGTTCGCACAAAACCCCAACAATAAACTCCCTCGCTTCGTAAATTTGCAGAAAGAAGTGGGCGGGTACATACCTAAGGGACCCCCCTCGGAGTACATGTTGAAAGCCATCTCTTTCAGAACCACATGAACAATAATGTATACATCGCGTCTGCGTACTTCGTACAGGTGCATGTGGGCAGGCGCTTAAATTAGGTTCCCCTTTTGGGGTCCTTAATTTATGGGTGCCGTACTATGAAAGGGACCAAAAACCGACCCGAGATCTGAGAACTACCCACATGTCGCAAACCCTAAACCCTATAAACCCTATAACTCCAAGAAACCCTTTTAACCCTACAAGCCCTACAAAACCCTATAAACCCTGTAAACCCTATAAACCCTATAAGCCCTATAAGCCCTCTAAACCCTATAAGCCCTATAAACCCTACAAACCCTATAAACCCAGCCTATAAACCCTATAAACCCTATAAACCCTATGAACCCTATAAGCCCTATAAGCCCTATAAACCCTACAAACCCTACAAACCCTATAAACCCCATAAGCCCTATAAACCCGAACCACATGTCCCATGTGCCCGGGTGCGGTTGAAAGTGCTCCCGTGCAACTGGAGGCCTGGCCCTGCACGGTGCTGTGGACTCTGGAGAGTCGATGCCTGGGTTGCGGGTCTTAGGGCTCTTAGGGTTTTTAGGGTTTAGGGGTTTTAGGGTTTTTAGGGTTTAGGGGTTTTAGGGGTTTTAGGGGTTTTAGGGCTTTAGGGGTTTTAGGGGTTTTAGGGTTTTTAGGGTTTTTAGGGTTTTTAGGGCTTTATGGCTTTTTGGGTTTCGGGTTCTAGGCTTCTAGGCTTTAGGGCTTATAGGGTCTTAGGATTTTGTAGGGTTCTAAGGTTCTAGGGTTCTAAGGTTCTAGGTGAGGGCTTCGGGTTTTGGCTGCTTGCTGCTCAGCCAGGTCCACCTTCGGGGTGCCGGATGAACTCGGGGAGGCATGCTAGCAGGCCTCGTAGGGTTTTTTTTGAGCTTGTTTTTGGTTTTTTAGGGTTTCTCTTCGGGTGTGTTAGGGGCTTTTTTACGGTTTAGGGGATTTGGGGTTTCGGGTCTTTGGGTTTATTTGGTCTTTTTTTGCGTTTCGGGGTTTTGGGGGTTTTGGGCTTTAGCGTTTTGGGGTTGTAGGGTTTTGGGGTTTTGGGGCTTTGGGGTTTAGGGTTTAGGGGTTTTGGGGTTTTAGGGTTTTGGGGTTTTGGGGTTTTAGGTTTTTGGGGTTTTGGGGTTCTGGGGTTTTGAGGTTTTGGGGATGTGGGGTTTTGGGGGTTTTAGGGTTTTAGGGTTTGGGGTTTTAGGGTATTAGGGTTTTGGGTTTTTTGGCGTTTTGGGGTTTGGGGTTTTGGGGTTGTAGGGTTTTTGGGGTTTTGGGGTTTTAGGGTTCTGGGGTTTTGGTGATTTGGGGTTGGGGTAGGGTTCTAAGGTTCCAGCGTTTTAGGGGTCCCCCTTCTTAGAACCCCCCTAGCAAGGAATGGTGAGAGACTCTCTGCCTTCAAAGACTGCTGGCAGACCGTACCTGGGATACGGGAACCATACCGAAAACGAACCGAACCAGAGAACCAGAGCCGCGGTTTAGGGTTTAGGGTTTCAGAACCGTTAACAGCCCCGGAGCCCGAAACCCTACTGCGCACCATTTTGGCGTTTTGGAGCGCGAAACAATCCACCTCCCAGCAAGTGCTCCCCAGGAACCTTAAACCCTCCAGCCCGTAACCCCCCCCTCCAAACCCCAAACCCCAAACCCCAAACCCCAAGCAGTCCGCCCAGCTTGGTACAAGTAGGAGCTAGCTCATAAGACTGGAAGTCGACCACCCGAATCCCTAAACCCCAAGCCCCTAACGCACACCCATGAGGTTTAGGGTTTAGGGTTTAGGGTTTAGGGTTTAGGGTTTACGGACTCGAGCTTCTGACCGAAGGGTTTGCACCTCCTCCTCGCAGGAATCGATCTCGCCCTAGCACCGGAAACCAGTGGACAGCAAGAGTACTTGGAGGTTCATGGTACTCATTCACCAAGTATAACTGTGCTTAAAAGGGGTTTAGGGTTTAGGGTTGAGGGTTTAGGGGTACTTATTAACCAAATTTTATAAATTTACTCATAACGCACTTATAAGCCCCTAAGTGCCCTAACGTGGTTATAAGTACAGTTATAAGTACGGTCATCATTGGTTAATAAGTGCCATAAACCTCCAAGTAGTCATTTGCAGGTGGGCGTGCTCTAGAACAGCGCATCTCCGTTGTGCCAACAAAAGGCCCTTGATACTTGGGAAGTCCCCTCATATGAATATCTCTAATATCTGTACGTGCTGCCTGTGCCACGGCTGCCAATAATTCGCTGCATCACAAGCTCTCAGTAAGAAACCCGAATCCCTTTATTGCCCTAAACCCTAAACCCTAAACCCTCTACAGAGCTACGGCCTGCAGATGGCCAACTGGTCTTAAAAAGCGCTCCGGGCCTTCAGGCGCACAGCTCGCCTCTGAAGGGACCCCCGAAGATCCTTCGAGCGCAAGGGTTTAGGGTTTAGGGTTTAGGGTTTAGGGTACCTGAGCTCACATAATGTCCTGTGCTTTGTTGATCCCTGAACGATCCCTGCCTCGTCTTCTGCGAAGGATTGGGTGCCTGGTCCAGTAGACCGCAGCCTCATAAACTCTTCATGCTTCAGGCTGGGGGATGTTCCCCCCTCCTTGCTAGGGATTCTAATCAGGGGGGTACGATATTCCCGATTAAGGACTGTTAGTATAAGGGGAACATTCCAAAAGTCATGCTTCAGGCAGCAAACCGGGCAGCCAACACAGAATTATCCTGTGCAGACCTCCCCAGAAAACCACATGAATGGAGGGAGGAGCGCCAGAAGCTTCCCTTCATGTGCCCCAATACCCCTTTAGGGGTTTATGATCACAGGGTTTAGGGTTCAGGGTTTAGGGTTTCTAGGCTGATTCCTGCAAACCTGGACTCGCTCAGGCCACAACTCTCGATTTCGACTGGGAGGTGAGAACCTCTCTCGCGGCGCCGTTTCCGAGTACATACTTCAGCTGTCAAAGTTTAGGGTTTCGGGTTTAGGGCCATGAAGGGGGGACCTTCTGAAGTGTTACTCATCATAAATAACTTAGTACACACGGGCCATGTCGGGTGGTAGTAAATTTCGAAGTGCTCACCCAGAAATCAGGTAACTTAACACACGCAAAGCAACTGGGGTGTTAGGAAGGATGCGCCGATACTCCCTGTGATATCCTAAACCCTAAACCCTAAACCCTAAACCCAAACCCTAAACCTCCCTGGCCTGGAGCCTGTGGAGAAGGGGGAGTCTGCACCCGCAGGCGGTTTCGCTGGACTCGCATCCTGGTCAAGAGTGTGGCTCTTTTGTTGGTGCGCTATATTATTATTATTGTTATTATTATTATTGTCATTGCTTTTATTGCTATAATTCTGGTGCGCTATATTCTGTGTTATGCTTCCGCAATACTCTTCTGCATCGCTTTATGTTTGTTGCAGCATCTTACATGTGATGCTAGATTTTGCTGCGCTATGCTAGGTTACACTTTATGTTGTGGGACAATAGTTGTTTTGCATTTTGTTGCGCGCCCAGAAAAAGCATATGTGTACGTACGTAAGTATATACACGTACGCGCACGCACACTACACTACACACACACACACACCACACTCCATTTTACCCTCGCAGCCGACTATGGGAATCCATTCGCCATGATGCTGGTGTCCTCCTTTCTTTTGGGATCCACTGATTGAGGCGCCTGTGCATTCTGCACCTTGGTTGCTGGATGCCACGCAGGTCTCAAGGCGAAATCAGGCAAAACACGTTCACACCCGAATGGTTGGGCAGCTGGCCGCGTAGCTGTCCAGCGATTTTCTCAATGACAACCTCATGCTGCAAGCGTGCAGCCTGCACAACCTAAACCCTAAACCCTAACCCCTAACTTTCTTTCATCAGCAGTATAGGATGCCATCGCTCAGGGTCGTACACAGCATTTTGCCCTAGCAGACTGCGTCACTGCGTCGCTCGGCCAGGACAAAGTGAGGCTGTGAGAGTTTATTAGGCATTACGGCTCCCTGAACCCTAAACCCTAAACCCTAAACCTTAAACCCTAAACCCTAAACCCTAAACCCTTTTTTGCTTCAGGGCTCCTCTGTGGATTTAGTGGATTTACGCAAGTGTCACGACTCGGTCAAAGACTCCGGCCTGAACCTCCTCCAACACAAGAATCTAAGAAATCTTCCGAAAGGCACTTCGGTGTGCAAGATCTCGTTCAAGGCTCTGTAGAAGAGGAGCAGTTCATGTTCGCCAGCTTCTCGCAGGTGCACTTATGAGCCCGCATACGACTTTGAGGTCAACTCGAATGAAACCCTAAACCCTAAACCCTAAACCCCCTGAACCCCCCAAAACCCCCCAAAACCCAACTCGAAACCCAAGGCCAGAGCGTACGCAGCTGATCCTCGGCGAGCGAGGGCAGCAAAAAAGAACACAAAAACCACTCTGTGTCTGAAGAGGACCCTCGGATGGCCCTTATCGGGTTTAGGGACTCTTTGAAAAATCATCGGGGATATTTTTCAGAAGGTTTCTAAGGGCCATTCGATGAATCCTGGGTCCTTTTCAGAATGTGTTCCTCTCAAACCCAATAAGGGCAAAACAAAAACAAAAAAAAATGTGTATATATATATATATATATGCTACCCCCCCCCAGCGACCTACCCTTTTTAGGCCTTTTTAGGCCTTTTTAACAAAAAACAACAACGAAGGCCCAAAAGTCGCGTAGTTAATCACCGGGTAATGAAGGACAGTTACTGGGACACCCACCTCACAGACCCCGATGAGCCAGCATTGGATTAATCTACATTTTGAATCTGAAGCGGACAATGCTGTTTTTAGATGTTTAGATCTGTGTTGTTCTATGCAAATTGTGCGTTTAAAAGGGCAATTAATGTTTTGTTGAGCAACTAAATTATTTATACAATTGTGTTTGTACGGGGAAAAGTATTAATCAAATAGTGAAACATTTTTCTTGATTCTATGCGAATTCAACTACAAGAGTAATTATTAAGCAAAGAGCCCAATTTGACTCAAGTGAATACTATTTAAAGGAGCATACCCAACCAAGATACGAAACAAACACCATTCTCAACCAACATATGGCAAAGTGTGCGTTTAAAGGGCAAATGATGCTTTGTTGAGCAACTACTGTATTTATACAATTGTGTTTGTACTAGGCAAAGTATGAATCAAATACTATCTGCAAAGTCCACTGAAATACCTTACGTTTACATATTCATGAAACAATGTTTATTTATGAAATATTCATTCTATGCGAATTTAACTACTCGAGAAATTCTTAAGCAAATAGCCCAATTTGACTCAAGTGAATACCATTTAAAGGACCATACTCAACCAAATACGAAATACACACTAACGGAAATGGAAGCGGTTCTACCTACATGACAATGAAACAAAGATTGCTGAAGTATTCAATAAAGACCACTTATATACTATGTGTGAAAAAGCACAATTTGCATAAGCAAGCATAAACATGCACAACAATGGAAATAGAAGAGGTTCTACATACATAACGATGAAACAAAGAAGTGTGAAGTATTCAATAAAGACCACTTATATACTATGTTTGAAAAACACAACTTGCACAATCAGGCTTAAACAAATGCACAAGAATCCTAGAAAAGTACTTAGTGAAGGCCATACACAAGCAAATTCACAAATACAAAAAAACATCCAAAAGCGCGAGCTTTTCACGAGAATCTCTGGTGAAGTTTGGATTATAGGGTTTTGGGGTATCCCTGGACGAGTAGGAGCCACTTTTTAAGCAAACAATTCTAAGCAATAACTGCTATTTCTCCAGACAAGTATTGCAAATGCTGCTTCTAGATAATTAATCGCTTTTACCAGGCAAATATAACCCATGCGAACTTAGCTAGCAGAGCACCAAGTAATGGCTGAAGAAGGTCTACTACACTTGAGAACAACCAAAAGATGCATTAAACACTAGTTGAAAAAGAAGCGAAGCGGTTCTACGTACATAATAACGAAACAAATAGTTCTGAAGCACTAGAAAGACCACTTGTATACTATTTCTGAAAAGCACAATTAGCATAAGCACACTTAAAAATGCGTAGTTCTTGCCTCGTGACCGTAAAGGCGAACCAAAAAGCCAAAATACCAAAACCACAAAAAAACCAAAAACACCAAAACCAAAAAAAACAAAAAAACCAAAACCAAAAAATCCAAAAAAAAACAAAAATACCAATTTTCCGGGACTCTTGGAGAAGCCTCATAGGGATTCCTGAGAGTTCCGGAAAATTGTTTTTGTTTTTTTTTTGGCTTTGTTTTTGTTTGGTTTTTTTGGTTTTGGTGTTTTTGGTTTTTCTACTGTCCCGTGTATGTGATTTTAGTTGTATTTTAGTCTATGCCCTAGGAAATACGCTATATTGCGCACCGAGTTTGCTTGCAGTGCAGCTGGGTGACTTGAGACAAGGCGAAAAAGGGTAGGTCACTGGGGGGGGGGGGTACCATATATATATATATATGTGTGTAATATTATATATATGTATAAATCCCAATGGCCTAGCTAGTGGCTGGAACTCCAGTTGTTAACGTTGTGCCTTTCAAAGCGCCTTCGTGCAGCACTCGGATCCCCAGCACTCAATTACTACTGTTTGCTTAAGAACCCCACTTTCCCCCCAAAAAAACATACAAGTTAAAAGATAACAATCCCTATATGGCCCTTATTCAAGGAAGAGTATTCTTGCTTTTTTGGTTTCTTTAAAGCAAGTAGTCGATGAGGCAGCTAAGCTGTGGTCGATGGTGACGGTGGCCTCGTCGTCTTCGTTGGGAAGCGAGGCCTTATGCAGATTTAGGGTTTACGGTTTAGGGTTTAGGGTTTGGGGCCACATGCGGGTAACACAAGCATGAGAAATACCTGAAGAACGCTGCATCCCTGGTTCTTGAAGTGCTGAAGGGGTTTAGGGTTTGGGGATGGAGCGCTACACGGCATTCTAGCAGGCTAGCGTCCTGGCAAAACATACCCGATTGTTTTCTGACACTTCTGTCGATTGTGAGACTGGCGGACTGCGACCATCTGGTTTCAGGCATGGTCGCAGTGCTGCATTGAGGCTTTTCCGAATGAAGGAGGAAGGCTTTCTTTTTCGACACGCTGTTGCAAGTATGCATACGACATTCCCAGGCTTGCAGCCGCTTACTGACGGGCACGAGTTTTGGAAACACCTCATCTGCCTACTTGCATGCAATGGAAAGCCGCCGACCAGTGAGACCCATTGCCTTCGCGCACTGGCAGTTTCCAGAACACTCTTGTTCGTAATCGAACAGAACCACCATATCTATCTACATACATACATACATAAGTTATTATGTGTATTTACCTATGCATTCATATATCATAACGAAAGGCATGGGAGGGCCACTGGCCGCATAGGTTCTGCATGTGTCCAGCACAGCTAAGATCCGAAGCGCTTCTGGATCTCATTATGCTGGACTCGCCATACGCTAACACAGGGGCCCTGACTTTTCTTAGGGTTTAGGGTTTAGGGTTTAGGGTTTAGGGTTGCAGAGGACAGGCCGCCTGCACCTAAGACACTCCGCTTGACATTCGTGTCGAGGCCCCTGCGTTACGTCTCACCTAGTAGCTGAGTACCCTGGGCCAAAAAAAGTTTACCTTTCAATTCTGGTAGGAATATACATACACCAAACGGTTCAAGGTTACCTACTCAGCTACCAAGATCATTATGTACCAAAAGGTTCAAGGTCACCGACTCAGCTACTAAGATCATTATGTTGGCTCTGTGCTGGCCCTTCGCTCGGGCGACCTGGGTGCTGGTTTGGGCTGCTCCGGCGCCTCCCCGGGATCCAGGGCGTCGGGGTCCTCGAAGGGCTCCTCTATGGTTTCCATGGGCGGCGCAGCCTCCGGCGAGCAAGATTGCTAGGGTTGGGCTACTTAGGTTTTTTAGGGACTCTATAAGGTAAATGCAGGGATGATATAGGGGAAGAAGGTTAAGGGTCCCTTCTAGGGGTCCCTCCTTACGCCCCTTAAGTTGAGGATCTAGAGCCCCTGCTGCACGAGACCGGCACAAGACCGAAATCCAAACATTACTTAGGGGGGTTTAGTAGGGACCCCTAAACCCTAAACCCTAAACCCTAAACCCTAAACCCTAAACCCTAAACCCTAAACCCTAAACCCTAAACCCTAAACCCTAAACCCTAAAAGGGAACCTGCATCTCATTCCCCTATATAGCCCCTCTGTCAACCTTATATTAGTCCCTATAATACCTCGAAGCCCGAAGCGGCCTGCGTCTCGGTGGAGCTGCGCCGGGGCTTCGGCTGTTCCCAGGGCGCCGGGCGAAGAGGCTTCTTCGGCTCCGGGGGAAGAAGACCTCATGCTCGCGAAACGGTTACCTAAGTGAACTTGGAACCCTAGTAGTAAAAATTCATACTCTTAGCTGTTTCTAAGGAAGCATAACGCCCAACAATTAAAGCTATTCCCAAGTATTCCCAAGGTTAGGGTTTTTGGGTTGGAACTGGAATGGTATACTGAGTATTGTTGAAGAGTTGACGACTTTGCTTTCGACCCTCGGCACCCGGGCCCCACTCTGAGTTCAGCGGCCTGGAAAAGTGGTGCGCCGCTTCTCATCCCACTCGATGATTACCAGCTGTCTCTGCGCTGACTCCACGAGGGCCTGTTCCTGCCGAACCTTTCAGGGTATGCTGCTAAGTAGTTCTCTGAATTGGGGGGGGGGGGGGGGGGGTCCCTTTTTGGGGTCCTATATATACCACGGCACCTGTATACAATAAGGGCCCCCGACAAGGGACCCTAATTTGGAGAACTGCCCTCCTGGTGACGGCAAGGACACACAGACCGTTTTGTAGCGAAGTTTTGGCTTGAAAAACGATTCAAATCTATTGCGTGGTTCTACTCGGAGGTTCATGGGGCAGCCGTTGCTACATATATATATATATATCTATATATATATATGTATGTATGTATGTGTGCCTGTGTAGGGTTCGTATGGCAACCCCCAACAACTGCATGAGCCCGGTTTTCCCAAGCACAATGCACTGCAGGGCTTCGGGCTTATGAGGGTTTGGGGCACGCCCCCAAAAACCCCTGTTGCAACTGGGCTTGAGGACCAGCCACCCCAAAAACCCTAAACCCTACACCCTAAACCCTAAACCCTAAACGCTAAACCCTAGAAGCCTCACTGTGGGACCGCTCGATGAGCTCCTCCGCACAATGCTGGCCTAGAAAGTTCAAGCGCCTTGGCTCCGTGGTTTACAGCTGGCAGCGCCCAGTTAGGGTTTAGGGTTTAGGGTTTAGGGTTTAGGGTTTAGCCTTTAGGGTTAAAAAGGGACCTCAAGTCAGAGCTCCATACATCGGAGAATTTTTGTTCATGCTCCAGTTCTTTGCAAGTTGGGTTCTACAGGGACCGGTTGTGCGCTGGATCCCGATATCTTGACACTGAGCTTGCTTGCCAAGCCACTCCTGAATGATGTCTGCCTGGCGATTCGCAGATCCACAGCATGAGTGCTCACGTCAAAGGGTGAGGGGGGCTCTCAACGCGTCGGGACGCAACCCTGAACCCCCAAAAACCTCACAAATCCTAGGGTTCCTATAAACCCCATAAACCCTATACACCCTGTAAACGATTAAAAACCCTGTAAACCCTATAAACCCTACAAACCTTATAAACCCTGTAAACCCTATAAGCCTTACAAACCCGATAAACTCTAACCCTGATGTGGACTGTGGACATAGGGCTAAGTTTGTAGGGGCACTCCCCACGCCTTCTCATTCAGAACCAGCAGCCGCCGGTTGAAGACCAAGGCGCGGCCTGACCTGAATATACTTTTGTCTGATAACTTAGTATTCTTGTTGTTATAATAATAATCAAAAATAAACGTATTCAATTGTATATTTGTATATGTAGATTACCAAAATACTATATTATTCTGTATGTAGGACCTTTATGCGTTATTTGACGGTCCTGCTTCGCCTTCCAAAACTTTAAGGATTTTAAGGAATTTAGGGGTTTTCCAAAATTTTAAACGGACCACAAAATCCTTAAAATTTTGAAAGCCCGGACCTTTCAAAATTTTAAGGATTTTAAGGAATTTAAGGCCTTTTAAATTTCTTAAAATCCTTAAAATCCTTAAAATTTTGAAAGAAAATTAAATTATTTTCCGGAAAGAGGCAGGCCCATTTAAAATTTTTAAAAATCCTTAAAATCCTTAAAGTTTTGAAAGCCCGGACCTTTCAAAATTTTAAGGATTTTAAGGAATTTAAGGCCTTTTAAATTCTTAAAATCTTTAAAATTTTGAAAGAGAATTAAATTATTTTCCGGAAAGAGGCAGGCCCATTTAAAATTTTAAAAATCCTTAAAATCCTTAAAATCCTTAAAATTTTGAAAGCCCGGGCCTTTCAAAATTTTAAGGATTTTAAGGAATTTAAGGCCTTTTAAATTTCTTAAAATCCTTAAAATCCTTGAAATTTTGAAAGAAAACTAAATTATTTTCCGGAAAGAGGCAGGCCCATTTAAAATTTTAAAAATCCTTAAAATCCTTAAAATCCTTTAAATTTTGAAAGCCCGGGCCTTTCAAAATTTTAAGGATTTTAAGGAATTTAAGGCCTGTTAAATTTCTTAAAATCCTTAAAATCCTTAAAATTTTGAAAGAAAATTAAATTATTTTCCGGAAAGAGGCAGGCCCATTTAAAATTTTAAAAATCCTTAAAATCCTTAAAATCCTTAAAATTTTGAAAGGTTGGGGCTTTCAAAATTTTAAGGATTTTAAGGAATTTAACGCCTTTTAAATTTCTTAAAATCCTTAAAATCCTTAAAATTTTGAAAGAAAATTAAATCATTGTCCGGAAAGAGGCAGGCCCATTTTTAAAAATCCTTAAAATCCTTAAAATCCTTAAAATTTTGAAAGGTTGGGGCTTTCAAAATTTTAAGGGTTTTAAGGAATGTAACGCCTTTTAAATTTCTTAAAATCCTTAAAATCCTTAAAATATTGAAAGAAAATTAAATTATTTTCCGGAAAGAGGCAGGCCCATTTAAAATTTTAAAAATCCTTAAAACCCTTAAAATCCTTAAAATTTTGAAAGCCCGGGCCTTTCAAAATTTTAAGGATTTCAAGGAATTTAAGGCCTTTTAAATTTCTTAAAATTTTCTTAAAATCCTTAAAATCCTTAAAATTTTGAAAGAAAATTAAATTATTTTCCGGAAAGAGGCAGGGCCCATTTAAAATTTTAAAAATCCTTAAAATCCTTAAAAGCCTTAAAATTTTGAAAGCCCGGGCCTTTCAAAATTTTAAGGATTTTAAGGAATTTAAGGCCTTTTAAATTTCTTAAAATCCTTAAAATCCTTAAAATTTTGAAAGAAAATTAAATCATTTTCCGGAAAGAGGCAGGCCCATTTAAAATTTTAAAAATCCTTAAAATCCTTAAAATCCTTAAAATTTTGAAAGCCCGGGCCTTTCAAAATTTTAAGGATTTTAAGGAATTTAAAACGCCTTTGAAATTTCTTAAAAACCTTAAAATCCTTAAAATTTTGAAAGAAAATTATATTATTTGCCGGAAAGAGGCAGGCCCATTTAAAATTTTAAAAATCCTTAAAATCCTTAAAATCCTGAAAATAAGGATTTTAAGGAATTTAAGGCCTTTTAAATTTCTTAAAATCCTTAAAATCCTTGAAATCCTTAAAATTTTGAAAGAAAATTAAATCATTCTCCGGAAAGAGGCAGGCCCATTTAAAATTTTAAAAATCCTTAAAATCCTTAAAATCCTTAAATTTTGAAAGGTTGGGGCTTTCAAAATTTTAAGGATTTTAAGGAATTTAAGGCCTTTTAAATTTCCCTTTTAAATTTCTTAAAATCCTTAAAATCCTTAAAATCCTTAAAATTTGGAAAGAAAATTAAATTATTTTCCGGAAAGAGGCAGGCCCATTTAAAATTTTAAAAATCCTTAAAATCCTTAAAATCCTTAAAATCCTTAAAATTTTGAAAGGTTGGGGCTTTCAAAATTTTAAGGATTTTAAGGATTTTAAGGATTTTTAAAATTTTAAATGGGCCTGACTCTTTCCGGAATATATTTTAATTTTGTTTCAAAATTTTAAGGATTTTAAAGGATTTTAAGAAAGTTAAAAGGCGCTAAATTCCTTAAAATCCTTAAAATTTTGAAAGCCCCAACCTTTCAAAATTTTAAGGATTTTAAGGATTTTAAGGATTTTTAAAATTTTAAATGGGCCTGCCTCTTTCCGGAAAATGATTTAATTTTCTTTCAAAATTTTAAGGATTTTAAGGATTTTAAGGATTTTAAGAAATTTAAAAGGCCTTAAAGTCCTTAAAATCCTTAAAATTTTGAAAGCCCCAACCTTTCAAAATTTTAAGGATTTTAAGGATTTTAAGGATTTTTAAAATTTTAAATGGGCCTGCCTCTTTCCGGAAAATATTTTAATTTTCTTTCAAAATTTTTCAGGATTTTAAGGATTTTAAGGATTTTAAGAAATTTAAAAGGCCTTAAATTCCTTAAAATCCTTAAAATTTTGAAAGCCCCAACCTTTCAAAATTTTAAGGATTTTAAGGGTTTTAAGGATTTTTAAAATTTTAAATGGGCCTGCCTCTTTCCGGAAAATAATATAATTTTCTTGCAAAATTTTAAGGATTTTGAGGATTTTAAGGATTTTAAGAAATTTAGAAGGCCTTAAATTCCTTAAAATCCTTAAAATTTTGAAAGCCCCAACCTTTCAAAATTTTAAGGATTTTAAGGATTTTAAGGGTTTTTAAAATTTTAAATGGGCCTGCCTCTTTCCGGAAAATAATTTAATTTTCTTTCAAAATTTTAAGGATTTTAAGGATTTTAAGGATTTTAAGAAATTTAAAAGGCGTTAAATTCCTCAAAATCCTTAAAATTTTGAAAGGCCCGGGCTTTCAAAATTTTAAGGATTTTAAGGATTTTAAGGATTTTTAAAATTTTAAATGGGCCTGCCTCTTTCCGGAAAATGATTTAATTTTCTTTCAAAATTTTAAGGGTTTTAAGGATTTTAAGAAATTTAAAAGGCCTTAAATTCCTTAAAATCCTTAAAATTTTGAAAGGCCCGGGCTTTCAAAATTTTAAGGATTTTAAGGATTTTTAAAATTTTAAATGGGCCTGCCTCTTTCCGGAAAATTTTTTAATTTTCTTTCAAAATTTTAAGGATGTTAAGGATTTTAAGGATTTTAAGAAATTTAAAAGGCGTTAAATTCCTTAAAATCCTTAAAATTTTGAAAGGCCCGGGCTTTCAAAATTTTAAGGATTTTAAGGATTTTAAGGATTTTTAAAATTTTAAATGGGCCTGCCTCTTTCCGGAAAATAATTTAATTTTCTTTCAAAATTTTAAGGATTTTAAGGATTTTAAGGATTTTAAGAAATTTAAAAGGCGTTAATTTCCTTAAAATCCTTAAAATTTTGAAAGCCCCAACCTTTCAAAATTTTAAGGATTTTAAGGATTTTAAGGATTTTTAAAATTTTAAATGGGCCTGCCTCTTTCCGGAAAATGATTTAATTTTCTTTCAAAATTTTAAGGATTTTAAGGATTTTTAAAATTTTAAATGGGACTGCCTCTTTCCGGAAAATAATGTAATTTTCTTTCAAAATTTTGAGGATTTTAAGGATTTTAAGGATTTTAAGAAATTTAAAAGGCCTTAAATTCCTTAAAATCCTTAAAATTTTGAAAGGCCCGGGCTTTCAAAATTTTAAGGATTTTAAGGATTTTAAGGATTTTTAAAATTTTAAATGGGCCTGCCTCTTTCCGGAAAATAATCTAATTTTCTTTCAAAATTTTACGGATTTTAAGGATTTTAAGGATTTTAAGAAATTTAAAAAGGCCTTAAATTCTTTAAAATCCTTAAAATTTTGAAAGCCCCAACCTTTCAAAATTTTAAGGATTTTAAGGATTTTAAGGATTTTTAAAATTTTAAATGGGCCTGCCTCTTTCCGGAAAATAATTTAATTTTCTTTCAAAATTTTAAGGATTTTAAGGATTTTAAGAAATTTAAAAGGCGTTAAATTCCTTAAAATCCTTAAAATATTGAAAGGTCCTGGCTTTCAAAATTTTAAGGGTTTTCAGGATTTTAAGGATTTCAAAATTTTAAATGGGCCTGACTTTTCCGGAAAATAAATTTATTTTCCAATAGTTTTACTGAGTTTATTTTTTTATTTAAATGGGCCTGACCCTTTCTGGAAAATACTTGAATATTAGTTTAAAATTTGATAGATTTTAAGGAAACTAGGGGCATTTCAATATTTGGAAAGGCCATGAAGTTCCATGGGTACGTTATATTTTTGGATTTTTGTTTGTAATTTTTAGCAAATAAACCATTTAAGTTTTTTTTTTGCAATTTTCCTGAAATTCTGAAAGCCTAGGCCTTACAAGAAAAATAAAAAAAACAGCAACACAAATACTCATTTAAAATATTTAAATGCGCTTCTTAGTCCTTTTAAAAAAGAACATTTTGTTTTGTTAATTCATAAGGCTTGTAAAAAAAG